AAACTTTTTGTGTATTTTTTATGGGATATTTCTGTATTTTGATCGGGTTTTCTTAAGTTAATAATGCTTTTTGCCAACTCAGACTGCTGTTTTTCAATTTCTTTTAAGTTAGCATTTTTTTGTTCTTTTAAGTCACCGTGTGTACCTATTTAGTAAAAAATTATATATTTTTCTTGTAAAGATAACTTTCAGGGAAAGCGATGTTCAAACAAAACTTTTGTATCCGCCCCTGTGTTCTACGGTTATTAGTTTTTTTATTAACTTTGAAATAACAAAATTAAATTCTAGGAATTAATTTGCTAATGCTACAGGGGAAGTAAAAAAATGATTTTAAACGTAATTCAGTGGCGTACATTAGGTACATTATAAAAAAATATGCTAGGCCACTAAAAATTATTTTTTTGTTTATTTTTAATTTAAATACGTTTTTTTTTATTTCTTTTCGTTCTCCGTAATTAAACTTTTTTCACAGCCTAAACAAGTAAATGAAAGTAACAGAAATATAATTCAGTCTAAGTAAAAAGCTGGATACGCATAAAAGGCCTTACTAAATAAAACAATAGCTAAAACTTCATTTCCATATTTGAAAGGGCTTAAAAGTTATTAAAAATATTTAAAATAACAACCTGCAACTTGGAAACAAAAAGAACCAAAGCAAAACTTCATTATACTATTTTACACTCAGTATGTCAGTGGAGAAGCAAAAATATTCGTTTTACTTATTGTTTAAGTAAAATGATTTACACATTTAAAATACGCCAAGGTCACAATTTCGGAAAAATATTAAATTTAATTTTTATTGTATATTACCACCCGCCAAAGTAAAGGTAGATACTATAATAATTTGATACTTTATTGTAGTTTATAACAGTTTTATTAAATTATATTTTAATTTTTTGTTTTTGGGAAAAACCCATGTACATTTGTTTTAGAGATTTTGCAGTCCGAGGTAAAGGTTTTTTATAAAAAAGGGCATTAGATCTTTGGACGTTGTCAAAAGGAGTCGCTCTTAAAAAATTACTTTAAATATAGGTACTGTTTGTGTTGTTCGGAAAAAAGTATTTGTTACTGATAGTAACTAACTGTGTATTTGAAAGTTCCTTAGGTTTTGGTTTAATTAAATGTTACTATTTTAGCTGAATTTTACTCTATTTTAATTAATTTTTATTTTAGCTAATTGTTATATTTGTAATACTAAAAAAATCTAACATAGTACCAAGAACAGCGCTGTCATTGAATGCATTAAAATTGAAGCAATCTAAATTGTTATTTGCTTTATTAATTACTATTAAACCAAAATAGGGAAATATTTTGCCTAAATACGTTAAATGTATACATAGAATACATACAATAGTTACGTTATTAAATAAATCAAATTAGTATTTAATGTAATAACATTCTACCATTCTAACAAATAAATATCAATATGAATATCAATAGATTTAGGAGCGATAACTTTTATAAACCAAGTGCTAACTACCTATTGGTATTATAGGAACTGTTATTCAGGAATACGGATTACAAGATCCCATTGGTTTAATGGATAACCCATTCATGCTATGCTAGCGTTTTGAATTTGACTAATTATTAGTGACTGCTTTTTCGCTATGACAATTTGTCAAATATAACTTATAATTAGTTATATTTGACTAATTCATTTTAAGAGAGTACGTTAGGTGAGACTTAAATGCTGAATATTACCGAATTACTGCCGATACTGCCCATGTACTGCCGAAGTACTGCATGTACTGCCGAAGTACTGCTCCCGTACTGCCTATATTGCCTATTTACAGCTGCATACTGCCGATACTGTTGAAGTATTGCCGTCACTGCCTTTGTACTGCCTTTGTACTGCATAAAATTTGTGCACGTATTGCCGACAGTGGTTGACCCCTCGGTAAAAACCGTTACGAATAGAAAAATAGAGCAGCGATTTTATAAAAAATCTTTTAGTACCTAAGTGATTAAGCAAAATTTGCCACGAAAAAGGTGGTACAAAATTTTGAGAATAAGTAACGGGAATTTCATATACAGCCCGTTCAGAGTAAAACCGAATATAGGGAAACGTAAAGGGCGTGTTTTTACTCTGAACGGACTGTATGATGCCTTTATCCCAAGCTATCTTGAAGAAACTTTTTATAATTTAACTGTTTTACATTTGTGTTTTTATCAAATTTATAATTATATAAAACTTGAACTGACTTTATAATACATATTTTAACCTGTAACCACTATCGTGGGGTCCCACGTGAATTAAAAAACAGCTGGATATAAAAAATAATTTAGTTTGTTTATCTTTGGGCCTTACTAAAAAATAATTAAAATATAAGTAATAATAATAATAATAATAATAATAATAATAGTAGTAGTAGTAGTAGTAGTAGTAGTAGTAATAATAAATTTATTTTCCATTCAAATACAATACAAATTCATCCAATTTAGCTTATTTTATAAATAGAAAAAAACAAAAAAAATTGTTCAAAAAATTGAAAAATCTCTGGGGTGTGTTCAGGCAGATAGAATAGTTCTATCCCCCGGTTTTCAACACTTAATCACTTAAATTAAACCTAATATATTTCTGTAAAAATAAATAAATGAAAATTCTATTAAGTGTAGAAATAAAACAAATAAGAAAAAAAAATACGCATATAAAAAATACGGATATAAAAAAACGAATAAAAATAAAGAGAATTATGACTAAATATGACATGTTGAATTTATTTGTTGTTCAAAAAAAAATTGAAAGCTCTTTCTTAAATATCCTATAATTTTGAGCTTTAAAATTGTCTGGTAAAAAGTTATAAAGCTTGGCAATCATGAAACTAAATGACCGTTCATATAATGTTGTATCATAATAATGATAATAAAAATTTATAATAGGTTATAATAAAAAAATTACATAAAAAAGTGTTTTTAGACATTTTTTTAACCAGGCCGATGTGATCTAAAAGGGCTTGACATTTTTAGGATTTTATAATTTTAAAAATAATAATAATACCCAATATATTTGAAATTTTAAATGCAGTAAAAAAGCTAAGCAACAAGTTTACTTGCGGAGTTGATTATATTCCAAGCTTCATTGCTAAGGATTGCAGCGTTGGACTATTAAAACCGTTACTGTATCTATTTAACCTAATTTTACGTACCGGTAAATTTCCCAAAATTTGGAAAACTTCAAAAATTGTTCCGGTCTTGAAATCCGGTGATTCTTCTAACGTTGAAAACTATAGGCCAATTGCTATACTTTGTAATTTTGCAAAATTGTTCGAGAGTATTATTTATAGAAAAATATACTTCCAGTTAAGTCATATAATATCAAATCAACAACATGGTTTTGTTGAAAAACGGTCAACGGTCACCAATTTAACATTGTTTACACAGTTTGCCAGTAATGTGCTTGATAATCATGGACAAGTGGATGTAATCTATACAGATTTCCAGAAAGCCTTTGACCAAATAGATCATAATAGACTTCAGATTAAATTAAAAAAAATCGGATTTTCTGACCATTTAATATTTTTCTTCATTTCCTATTTAACACATAGAAAGCTATATGTTTCTTACAATGAGTTTTGTTCTAAACCGTTTACTCCAACATCAGGTGTTCCACAAGGATCCAATCTAGGACCACTACTTTTTCTTATCTCCATCAACGACCTACCAGACATCTTAACAGCTTACAATTTACTATTTGCTGATGATCTGAAACTCTACTTAGAAATCAAAACTGTTGATGATTGCATTAAACTGCAAAATAATTTGAATAATCTATATAATTGGTGTATCATAAATAACCTTCATTTAAATATCAATAAATGCAAGAGTATGATATATACAAAGAAAAAGCATAGTATATTGTATAATTATGAAATCAGCAATAGGCGTTTAGAACAAGTTACAGAATTTAAAGATCTGGGAGTTAGGTTTGATACGAAGCTGAATTTTATTAATCATATCAACGCGGTAGTAAACTCATCTTTTAGAATGTTGGGTTTTCTCATTAGAAATACCAAGCAATTTATAAATGAAAGCTCATTAAAAATGCTGTATTTTGCATTAATAAGGTCAAAGATGGAATATGCTTCCATAATCTGGTATCCAATCTATTTAGTCCATATAACAAGCATTGAAACTGTACAACGCAAATTTTTAAAGCTCTTACATCTTAGAATATATAATGAATATCCAACTCAGGGATTTGACCATGATTTGCTACTATCGACATTTGAATTTAAATCTCTAGAAAAGAGAAGGGTTATTGCATCAATTTCATTTTTGTTTAGGTAACTTAATTCTCAAATTAGTTGTAGTGATTTGCTTTCTCAGATTAACTTTTCGGTGCCAAGATTGACTAGCAGAAATAAAATTACTTTTCTTCTAAGCTTTAATAGAACTAATTTGGGACTTAAATCGCCCTTATTTGTGATGTGCAGTAACTTTAATAAATTCTGTGAATCTTGTGATATAAACTTTAATACGCTTAGCCATATAATTAAATATTATTAGCATCTTTAAATGTTGCACACATAATCTGTTGTTTAGGTTTATCTATATATTTTTTTATAATTTGAATACTATATAGTACGCATGTATCCTATTTAAATGTCCTGTAATGGTTTAAACTGTTGGGCAATAAATAAATTATTATTATTATTATTATTATTATATATATAATAATACCCAATATATATATATATATATATGTATATATATATATATATATATATCTTTTTAATTACAGTTAAATCTTATGTAATTGCTGTTATTTTAATATTTTGTTTTAATAAAACACACACACACACACACACACACACACATTAAAGTAATAATTAAATAAAAATAAATAAAAATCTTTATGAAAACTTAAAATTAAAATTAAATATTGAATACCAATATAATAAATAAGTAACAATTAATTTTTTTATATGCTAAATGAATTTTAAAACTAATTATGCGCCCATAGTGCATTGATGCCATGCGCATTTGCGAAGAAAGCCCGCGCGGTGGCCAACGATGTTTTTATTGAACGCGTAGCAGTTTGACTCGTGTAAGCATCGAAATGACAAAGGAAATTATACAGTTCGTTAAAAAATACCCAATTCTATACGATTCCACTCTCGATGAATACAAAGATCTCCCAAAAAGAAACTTAGCTTGGCAAATAATTGGAGAGGAACTAAACGAAGATGGTAAGATGTAATAGTTTAAAACTAGTTGATATTCTAACCTTACTTTTAATTTTTAGGTGAATCCCTTAAGAAAAAATGGAAAAATATTAGAGATTGTTATGGAAAATACCTTAGGTCAATAGAAAATCCAAAATCCATAAAACGAACGTATAAAAATTGGAGATATGCAAAGGAAATGGAATTTTTTAAACCATTTTTAGAACCAACTTTAAATTTAAATAATAATGAAGAAAAAATAATACAAGATGAAAGTGACAACTATGTTCAGGAACAAATTTTAGATAAAAAATATTCCATTGATTTTTCAACGTTCGATTATATTGACATTCTTTTCCTTGGTTATTCTGCAACGATAAAAAATTTAACGCCGGAAAGAGAAGTACAAGCAAAAATTAAAATTGCAAAATTAATCGCAGAAGAAGAAATAAAATCAATCCAAGAAAAGGAAGATACGGCATCGTTTTTAATTTGTCCAAATGTGGTTATTAAAGAAGAATTATAAATTTACAGGGTCTTTAAATGATTTGCTAAATTGATAAAGGTGTTTATAGAAGATAAATTAAACATGTGTATGCTTCACACATCAAAGTCCCACCACGTGACTGACAGAAATAATTAAGGTTAATTTTCTGTCACTGACTCAGTGTCAAGCTTTTTTGCCTTATTTTCTGAAAATAATACAATGTATGTGTTTTTTGTGTTCTAAATTAAAAGCTTTACACACGAAAAATACATTAATTACATTATTTTCAAAAAATAGGACCAATTTAACTTGACAGAAAATTAACCTTAATTATTTCGGATAACGTTAATATACTTTTTTCTTAAAATATTTTCTAGAATTACGTATTTAGGAACACCCTGTATATTTTAAAATTTGTTAAATTAAAATTGTAGAAGTTTGTATATTACTTTTTTTGTTTTTTTACATTCCGATTAAAATTAGTTTAGTTTTATATTTAAAAATTGTCTATTTTTAGCAGTTCTGTAATATTTTCCGCCATAAATTATTTCTGTATTATTTAAATTTTATTTTTTAATATTTTAAAATAATGAGGATTGGCTGCATTGATCGGATGAATAGAGTACAGTTTTTCTAATAAAAGGGTTACAAAGATAATTATTATAAAAAAAATCTAAAAACTATTTTTTGATCATTTGACTAAAAATAATTTTTTTTAAAGAACATTTCTCTAAAAATCGTTTTTTCTAAAAATAAAAATTATTATTTACAATAAAATCGCGTGGTCATTAAAACGTCAAAATAATTAATTATTGAAAATTAACAAATCCTAGTAATTTTCTTTAAATGATTGTGGAACTAATAAGAGCAAAAAAAACATTTTTTCACATCGATGGATATCTGTATTATTTTGTTTCCGAAGCATCGGGGAAAATATATTGGAAACGCCTAAAGCCGGGTCTACAATTGTCGCAGGTCGCAGATTGCAGAACATAAGCTTGCGCAAAGCACCCAGCTGACAAAAGAACCTTGCTCCATTGTAAACAGTAAATTACAAAATTAACAAGGTATCTTTTACATACCCCTGATACATTCCTACATAAATATAATTTAAAATATTATTCACATATAATCCAAGAAAATCATAGAAATACGATGTAAAAAAAGACCACAATCCATTGTGGATCTGTCAACACTCTCTACCACTAAGGTCAAGTAACATAGCTATCGGATTTCTACAAAAGTGTTTTTATCTAATTTTCAAAACTCAAAAAGTTCGTCTTGAAGGTAAAGGTAGAGGGGCCACATTGTGGCCCAGCCACAAGTATGATTTTATGGCTTAGCTCCCCCTGCAAAAGTGCTACGCACTGAGTTGCATAATGTGGGTTCTGGTAATATCCGGTATTTTATCAATAAAATCTTATAAATAATTAAATATAGCGCGGTTACATAAAAATGATTATATTGTGATATTATAGTTATTTTTTGCACATGTATAAAGATAAGTGTTTACTTTTTTAACTCTGATTTTTGTTAACATTTTGACGTCACCGCTGGAAAAGTTTATAAATAATAAACTTACGTTTTTTTTAGAAAATGCATTGTATGCTATTGGAAACAAATTAAGAAAAAAAATTGAAAAACATTTTCTAGAAAAATTGACTCTACTCGTATATTGATCGGACATACATTTTTATTTGTTTCTTATTAGTAGAGCATAAATGTAACATAATTTTGTTCGACTAAACATATACAATTAAATTGAATTATAAGTGTGCGGTAAAGTTTGCAATCACTCAGTCAAATAATAATGTTGGTTTCATAAATAGTCCTTAATGGAATAAATTTTAATAAAATTATCAAGGAATCCTAATTAAGATTTATTTGTTATACCATTAACAAAGAAGATATTTAAATAAGTGTGGATTTGGGATGGAATGGCAAAAAAAAATAAATAAAAATTATATATAAATATTTATTTATAAAAATATATTATAACACAGAGAAATTTAAAATAAACAACAAACATACTTAAATATTACATGGTTCCTCATATTCTTCCTTGACAATTGGACAAGGGGCTAAATCTGCCATACCCGTTTCTTCAAGCTGTTTTAATTCTTCTTCCATTATAATTTGGGCAATTTTTAACTTAAGATTAATTTGTCGTGTGGGTGAAAAAGTTTTAATTGTGTGCGAATACCCTAAAAATATTAAATCGGTAGCATCTAACGTGTTGTGGAAAAGATTACCAAAGGAATCGTTATCACTTCTTTTGCGTTTTTTGGTATTGTTAATTGTAAAGTTAAAAGTCGATTCTTCACTGTAGTTTGAGTTGTCGCTTTTAGAGGAAACCTCTTCAGCCTTTTCAATGTTCATTTCCAAAAATGGTTTACAAAATTCCATTTTATTTGCCCATTTAAATGTCATTGGCCCAGGTCGACTGGAATTGATATCATTAATGCCATGCAAGGTTTTTAAATATCGGTGGTAGCAATCCCTGAGATTTTTCCATTTTTTCTTTACTTTATCAACTATTAAAAGAATATTTAAATTAGATAAACTTGGCAACAATGTAATTAAATTTACTTACCACTTTCGAAGGTATCTTTTGCTAGTACCTCCCATACTTTTTCTCTTTCTCGTATTTTTCTGTAGTCCGGGTTAGTGGTGTCGTATAAAATTGGGTGGCTTTTAACGAAATTTATAATTTCAAGCGACATTTTGTACGCTTACGTGCGGGCCAAGCTCTACACTGTATGCAACTAAACAGAGAGCAGCGACGACAACGCGCGGGCTCCAAGGATTCCCTGCGCGCGCACACACTATGGGTAAAACTAACTTTTAGCAAATTTAATATGTTTTAATGCAAATAGGTTATGACTAATAACACATTAATAGTTCATTATGTATCAAGCTTTGTTAACGCCATTTTAGTTATGAGTTTTATAAGGCACGAGCGAAGCTTGCGAGCGAGTGTTTAATAAAAACGAATGTCTAGAGAAGTTTATAAAACGAATTGCATACTATACTTTATCCACCACAAACAAAAAGAAGAATTTAAAGCAATTTTTTTTCGTTTGACTTTGACATTGACATCTGTCAACTGTCAACGGATTTAACCCCACTGTTTTCCAATTAATAATAAAGCTAACTTCAGCCCGTGACTAAGATGCACAAAAGCCACTGTTGCTTACTTTAGCCCGTGACTAAAACGCCATAAAGTCACAGTCTATTAATGGTAGAGTAGATAAAATAAATATTATAAATAAATAAATCGTTTTATCAGCAGAAGCTATTACATATAAATATACATTTAAATTAAAATTAAATGTTTTATTGTAAATAGGTAATTCCTAATAATACATTAATAGTTCATTATGTATCAAGCTTTATAAACGCCATTTTAGTTATGAGTTTTATGAGGCACGAGCGAAGCTTGCGAGCGAGTGTATAATAATAACGAGTGTCTAGAGAAGTTTATAAAACGAATTGCATACTATACTTTATCCACAACAAACAAAAAGAAGAATTTAAAACAATTTTTTTTTCGTTTGATATTGACATTGACATTGACATCTGTCAACTGTCAACGGATTTAACCCCACTTTTTCCCAATTAATAAAAAAGGTAACTTCAGCCCGTGACTAAAATGCACAAAAGCCACTGTTGCTAACTTTAGCCCGTGACTAAAACGCCATAAAGTCACAGTCTATTAATGGTAGAGTAGATAAAATAAATATTATAAATAAATAAATCGTTTATCAGCAAAAGCTATTACATATAAATACAGTTTGTTCCATTTAAAACGAACCACCCTAAATTTCTCGGAACCTGAAATTTTTTTGAAAAAACGCCGAGACACGTAAAGTTTTATATCGAGGGGGACAACTTTTCATGTCAAATTTTGGTTTCTCACCCCTACCCCTTGCGCCCAGGAGCTACCCCCTTAAGAATTTGAATAGGGAAGGGGTATCGACCAATACATCATTTTAAAGGTCTTTCAAATCCCTATACATCAATGTTTTATTTTTTAAAATCGGTCTGTTTATTTTTGAGATATTTTAGAAAACCCATGCAATATGCTTTTAAAACTTCCCACCTTAAATTTTTCGAAAACTGGAAGAATTTGGAAAAAAGGCGGACACATAAAGTTTTATATCGAGGGGCACATTTTTGGGGCTACTGCTACTTTAACCTCCTTGAGTTCTGCAACCCCTAACTCAAAAAATCCTAAATTTCAAAAGGTATCATGTGACACATCATTTTAAAGCTCTTTTAATTTGCAATACAACTGTGTAATTTTGTAATTTACCGATAGGTTGTAAAGAAAAAAACATTTTTTATTGTTATTACTGTATCAATCCTGCCAAATTTGGTCAAAACGGCTCTAATGTCTATGTATAATAAATTTCGGAACTAAACAAATCTCATCGATGAAAGGCGGCTGCACAATTACTCGGGAACGTTAACGAAAACGAGAACGGAAACTAAAACGAAAACGAGAAGATTCACAAGATTCACAATTAACATAATTATAATAGAACTATACGTACGACCATACTGCAGATGTTCAGCTATTAAAAGCTAACTATTTTTCTTTAATAATTAATCTTTATACTCTTTTAACAGGCGATCGTACAGATGTGGGAACTTTTTTACTAATAAAATAATTAATTCGTCGTTCATTTTCATTAATTTATTAACACAGAACGTATTGATAAAACAAATAGCGCGAATGTCAGAAATAATTTGACAGATTAAACTCATTTTCTATTGGTTTCGATAATGCTGCGTTTCTATTGGCTACCGGGAACGAGAAACTTAAAACTTAACCAACTTTCTCGTTTCCGTTCGCGGGATGTTTCTCGTTCTCGTTACCGAAAATTTGTTGTGCATGTGTACATTGACTTCTGTGTGTTTAATTTTTGTCTTGTTACCGTTCTCATTTTCGTTTCCGTTCCCGAGTAATTGTGCAGCCGCCTGAAGATGAAGATTTAGAAAAAACCAATGCCTATGAATTACATTCTAATAAATTTTTTACTGTTTTTGTTTGAAGAACTAAACCATTTAAAATAACTTACTTGTCGTCAATCGTTTTTTGCTTATTGTTGATAAATAAAGTTTTTACCTAAGAACGCTAATGTTTGAACGTTCGATGCATTGTAAATCACTATTCTTAAATTGCTTAATTGTTTAAATATGGTGTACACATTACAAGAACGTGTTGAGTTGGTAGGCTACTATTACGAAAATCAAAAATGTGCTCGAAGAGCTGCAAGGGTGTTCAACGAAAATCACCCTGATTGCAATGTTGGCCACAAATACATCGGGGAATTAATCTCAAAATTTGTTGAAACGGTTTCAGTTTTAAATATAAAAAAGGCTTCCAGAGGACTTGTGCATGACAAAGGAGCTGCTGTGGCGGTATTGGGACATATCCAGCTTATACCAAATACGCAGTCAATACGGCAAATATCTGCAACTTCCGGCGTGAGCAGCACTAACGTATTTAGAATTTTACACAAAAACAATGAAGACGATTTTAATAAAAGACAGGAATTTTGCGAAATCATGAGTGACCGTCTTATTCAAAATCAAAATTTGTTGTACAACATTTGCTTTTCGGACGAGTCAACTTTCTCTCTCAATGGCATGGTCCATCGGCATAACTGCAGGTTTTGGAGTGATACAAATGTATCTAAACATGATGGAAAATGAAATTAATGCCTTGATAACCAAAACTTTGGAAGATGATCCCTTGCTTGCTGAACAGGACTTACATTTTCAACAAGACGGCGCTCCTCCTCATTACGCAGCTCCAGTTCGTCGGCATCTAGATATGCGATATCCTGAACGTTGGATTGGACGAAGAGGTCCTGTAGAGTAGCCTGCCCGATCACCTGACTTAAATCCACTCGATTTTTTTTTGTGGGGATACCTTAAGTCGAAAGTTTTCGTGACACAACCTGCGTCTTTGGATGAACTACGTCAACGGATTATAACAGTGTAGCGTTTACTACGCTACAGTATTTCATTGTATTATATTTTAAATTAATAATATTGATTAAATAGTCAGTTAATACTGTTAGCGCCATCTATCGGTGAGTAGATCTGCGCATTTCCTTAATTAGTTCAATTTGCTACCTGTGAGATTTGTGAAGCGTAATCCAGCCATTTTGGGTATTGTTGATTATACGAGTGGTGTGTCAAGACGTCAATTTTTGAATCTTTGCATGGAGAAGTCATCCTGTGGATTATATTAGATATTTTGTTGTGAAAGCAAAGACGAAGCAGTTGAGTTTATTTAGACTTATATATTTTGATTTGTTGATTTATTTGGAGTGAAATCCGAGACGTCGAAGTTTAGCATGCGTAAGTTTGTAGGTTAATTTTTATTCCGGCTTTTTCCTAAGTCGTGTGTGTACTATTTTTAGCACTCGTATAATAACAATCAAACACATCCACTCTGTGTCCGAGTCAGAACTAGTTGTCCAGGAAATTCCACGAATGGAGTTGTGCCTTGGGGCCGAGAAGGCAAAAGCAATGTTTTTGATTTGGAATGGTATAAATACCGCTTAAGTTGGTTGTCTCTACGGCTGTTGGCTGTGTCCGAGTTAGGAGCTGATTTTTTGGCAGAGTGCTGCTGAAAACTGGTTGAATTACCTATACTGCTACGTATATGGGTTCGAATAGTCCTACGCTGTACAAATGAACACTGTGTCTGCATGCAATGCATTGTCAAGGCTGCTGGAGTGCTGCTGGATTGCTGTTTCCTCCTGAGGAAGACTGAGTCACCGTTGAACCACCTTACTGAGTAAATATTAATTTTAAGTTTTTTATCAAAATTGAGACTACAGTTCTCATTAAGAGTTTTAACATTTTATTTTTTTATATTGCGCCTATTCTTAATCTCATTTAAAACCAAGACCTGTAAATCAAAGATAGCTATCTACGATAATTTTTACTTAAGGGTATGCCCATTGCAGATGCAAGTTAGGTGTAATATTACAGTACTTATATTATGTTGATATTACAACATTACGATATCGATTTTATTTATTATTTTTTTAATAAAGAACTGTAGCTCACAGAGAAGTTTTATTGCTATTGTTGTTACCATAATACCATACCAAGCCTTTAACGTAGATCATTATTAGATTTATTTAATATATATATATATATATATATTTGAAGCTTAATATATATATGTACTTAACTTATTTTATTTAGCATAAGCTTCTGGCGCCCATTGAACAATACCAAGGTTTGTATTTCCTACTCCCAAATGCCCGACTGATTCCAGTTAGCCGTTCGCAGTCCTAAAATTTACTAATTAGTCCTATTTCCTACTGTTATAACATCAGGACATAAAAATAAGGTTACAACAGAGTGCCGTCAAATAACTCCAGCGATGTTCCGTAATGTGAGGGAGGGATTTGAATCCAGGCTTTTTATTTTCAATTGTAATTCATAAATAAATTTGTATACCTATTCGTTTAGATTTGGTAAAAACCAATTTCCAAACAATAAATATTGTTGTTTTTTTCTTGAGAACCAACCGATAAATTACAAAACTAACTACACAGTTGTATTGCAAATTAAACGAGCTTTAAAATGATGTGCCACATGATACTTTTTGCAATTTAGGATTTTTGAGTTAGGGGTTGCAGAACTCAAGGAGGTTAAAGTAGCAGTAGCGGCAAAAAATGTGCCCCTCGATATAAAACTTTATGTGTGTCCGCGTTTTTTCCAAATTATTCCAGTTTTCGAAAAATTTAAGGTGGGAAGTTTTAAAAGCATATTGCATGGTTTTTTTTAAATATCTCAAAAATAAA